TAGATAGTAATGGCAATTTATTACCTTTTGAAATGATAAAGCAAAAAACTAGAAGTGGTGACTTCTTGAAATACTTCTCCTTAATATCCAAAATTCCAAAAGCATGGGAAAAAAAACCCATAAAAAATATTTAGTACATAATAATTTTGAAAGACAGGAGTATAAAATAATGGATCTGAAAAAATATCATTCACTCAAGTTTGTTTACAAAGATCTTTTAAAAAGGGCTAAAAGGCAACATACTTCTAAGCAAGAATCTTGGATGCAATTATAAATACAAATATAAGTAGTGAGGAGTGGTCTGAGATTTAAATCAGGGCGAAAGTTTGTACCAAGGATACCAAATTGATCTCTTTTAACCTTAGATTAATCCATAGACTAATAGCTACTAATGATTTTTGAAAAGAATAAACATATTGGATGACAACAAATGTACGTTTTGCAAGAGAATGAAAATATTGAACATCTCTTGTATGATTGCAATATTACTTCACAGTTCTGGTACATTTTTATTGATCATTTTGCACCACCTTGCCAAATATTGTACATTTGTCAAAAAAAGAAATATTTTTAGGAAGTGAACAACTGGGCATTTTGTATAATTTCTTGCTTATTTTGGGAAAATATTACATTTATATTTGCAGATTAAATATGCAAAATCCTTCCTTCTATGCTTTTAAGCAGAGAGTTGTAATGTATAATTACGTTGAAAAATATGCTGCTAAGATAAACAAAAAATAGGACCAATTTCTTAAGATTGGATGGTAAACAGGAACAAAACACTATTTTCACCTACATTGTGCCATATGCATGTGTGCATGAGTGTGTGCATGTTTGTGTTGCCTTTATTTTTTCTTTCTTTTAATATAGATTATATTTACTATCCCTAGTTGATCTGGAAACAAGAAATTTTGATTGTAAGGTGACCTTGGGATGGATCCCCAACCCAATGGTCAACATATTACGGGGATAATAAAATTTTAAAATTTAAAAAAATGTATGTATGTATGTATGTATGTATGTATGTATGTATGTATGTATGTATGTATGTATGTATGTATGTATGTATGTATGTATGTATGTATGCATGCATGCATGCATGTATGTATGTATGTATGTATATTACAATCAGCCCAACTATTCTAATACGCTACTTATTGCTCGTATCTTCACCTTTAGTTCACTTCTAACATTGAGGATATATAATTATTTTTTTCAAGGACAAGATGGACGACCCTTGTACGTTTGGATCAGAACAATTATGACTTCTTTTTAACCATAATCTTCATCTGAAAACTGAGCAGCGCACCGTTTTTTCCCCGCTGTGTCTATGACAAAATCACACATGAACCTATTCATATTTGTGTAGCTCTTGGAATAAAGAATACATCTCCTCCACCGAACAAAGTGCACCTGTTAGAAACAAAATTTATACTTGTTTTGAATAATTTACCTCAATACTATTGAAAATGACGTCTATATACTGTTACGATCCTGAGGTTAAAGTATGTGTGTGTTAAGAAAAGAATTTTGTATAAATCTTTTTATTTCATTTTATTTCATCAAATGCAATTATTAATATAATTATATTAATATCAGTCTAACATGTTTTATGAAAAAACAGTGTTTACTTGAGTCGTAGATGTGACTCATGCGAGGACGTGATGTGTATAATAACAAATTCATTGCAAGTAAACATTCAGGAATAGCTATGAAAACCATTGTCTGATACTGGGTCAGGCTTTCCTAATGTCCAGAGGTATTACGAAATTGCATGCGTCCTCATGCGCGTGCAATTCAAACAACGTATTTGCTTCATATATATGTTTGAGACTTTTGTAAGTCGTACACAGTCACGGAAATACTGTCGTAGTCGAGAGTCAATAATAGACAGTCGTGGTCGAGTCATACACAATCGTAGAGTCGTAAAGTCAGAGATATACAACTTCTATTACCTTAGAAAAGGTGTTTTGTGCTAGAAGAAGTTGTCTGTTCGTATGTCTACGTAGAACAATATGTCTAGTTAGAGGAACTATTTTTACTTCGTTTTATGAATTGTTTTCCTGGAGAACAGCATTACTGATTTGGACATTTTCCCGAAAATATTCTAAATTTCAACGGGACAACATAAACTGTGCCTTATTGTGTAAATTATGGAATTGTCTGTTAGCCTTCGTCTGACGTGGTCATCCGCCATTTTGGACCTAAACTTCAGACACTTCAGACTGTGTTTAAACTTTTACAGAACTTGTATTTCTATTTTGAACAAAATTTTGATCATTTCTGTAAACCCTAAGTCTTGCTTAAATTATTTACATTACTTTATGTTTTCTAGGAAAATAAATTTGTTAAAATTTACAAAGCTTGCTGCCTTAACTCTTTCTTTTGTTACTTTGAACGAGCCGATACGTAACAATACTTTGTAAAAATATATCCATCTATATAGGAGTCACAGAATCATTCCAGATAATACATAACTACATAGTCACTGAATCAGTCTGATCCAATATGCTACGAATCATTTTGGATTATACAGACCTACGTAGAAGTTACTAAACCCTTTCAGAATTATGCAGACCTATATAGGAGTCACTGAATCATGCCTTTTTTAAATATCTACATAGGAGTTGCTGAATCGTGTCAGATTATATATATATATATATATATATATATATATATATATATATATATATATATATATATATATATATATATATATATATCTTATGTGAAGTAATGTTTTAATTTGAGGAACTTTTCAATATGCGCTCAGTAAAGAACAATTTTCACCATAAGAAACAATAACGATATAATTTCAAGTTTAAGACAATCAATACCGTTACTAATAGAATGCTGCATTCTATACCGGGGCGTAGTGGGTGGATGAGGAATAGGTAAAGTTTGGGTAGGAAGGGAACGTTGGTTTTTCGGATTAGGCTGGAGGATCGAGATAACCAAGAAACACAAATAAATGTCAGTCCCGAGTTTGAAAGGTAGAAATAAAATAATATATTGCATCATTTTACCTGATCATGCAGGGAGATTCATGCTAATATGAAGATGATAACAGATAATTACAGGTACCATTCCCATGGTGATCTAATATAATTAACTCCTCTTTATTTTTTTTTTCCTTGGATAATTTCGCTTAATTATATCGCGCAAATCTGCAGTGTGATTCGTGAAAAACACTCCACACTGTCAGGTGATCACACGTAATTAAAAACTCTTATCTATGTATAGGCACCTTGCCTTTAGACAAACGTAAAGACGAATGTTTGGTATTTTAGATATCTGACCTTGAGACAAGAATAAAAATGATTGCTTTGTGTATATACGTCTTGGTCTTGGTACAGCTATTGAGATCAACGCTTTCTTTAAAGACACCTGACCTAAAGACAAGAGTATAGATAAATATGTTTGTTTGTAGCATGCAATGACAGTTGAGCCTAATTTAATCAAAGCCAATATAAAAGCTGACAACTTAAATTTAGTAAAAGCCAAAATGGAAAGAGGAAATCTGAAGGAGAAAGAGAATGCGATGAATGTGGTGGAAATGTGAAACTTTCGGAAAGCGTCAGACTCCAAGATCAACCAAGACAAAACAGAAATTTTAAAGATAGGAAACTGTAAGGCGAATCACCCGGGACTCCCACCTCACCTAATAAGAGGTAAGGTCAAGACCTTAGGAGTGACAAATGGCCATTAAGCACAAATAGACAACAACAAATGCATAATATCAAAGGTAAAAAAAAACAAAAACAATATAGATAACTGGATGCGCCACTGTGAATAATGCTGACACTTTATAGATATAGGCCCATAGCAATATGAATTATATCCTAAATTCCGTTGACCTGAAGAAAAAAAAACTGAAAGAATTGGACAAAGAAATTGTAAATTATATACGGAACAGAAAAACGCAATATCTGTCCAAGGGATCATTAGGTAGGACGAACACTAGAGGGTGATTAAGTCTTCTCAATGCATTTATTGTTAAAATAGCTAAGATTTTATATATTTGTAATAAAAATAAGACATTAGCATAGGAAGCTTTGTATACATATTGTTTTACTGTAAACAAATGCCCGGATATGTATGTATGTATGTATGTATGTATGTATGTATGTATGTATGTATGTATGTATGTATGTATGTATGTATATATATATATATATATATATATATATATATATATATATATATATATATATATATATATATATATATATATATATATGAATGAACAATATTTAACAAAAATATAGTTAAATGCTTGAGAGAGAGAGAGAGAGAGAGAGAGAGAGAGAGAGAGAGAGAGAGAGAGAGAGAGAGAGAGAGAGAGAGAGAGAGAGAGAGAGAGAACAGAAAAAAACTGTTAAAGTAGAAGAAAACACTGGGGGATTAATTGGAAAATATGTGGAAGACATGGGCAGGATTTAAAACCCTTTCAAGTTCAAGTTATGATATCTTAATTTTTATACGATGTATGGATTACGGGTTAAGGAAATTGTCAATTGCCCAAGATATAAGCAGCCACATTACAAAATACCATGCAATAGCTTAATATGAGAGTAATAAAGTAGAAGAGTTAACTTCAAAATGCAGATATGCAAACAAGGGAAATAATTTCTTATATCTAGGCGGAATATCTGATAATAAAAGTATGGAAAATTTAACAGATTATATTGTTAAAACAATGTTGAAATGTGGTCTTGTAGTTAGGATTTAACAATAAGTGCTTGATTAAAATAAAATAATTTCCTGCACGCTTGTAGAAGACCTCTATGGGATATCGGCCTCATTTCATCTCCTCGCTTAGTGGGTTGTTCCAGCTCGGGCGCGGGCTGATCTCGTCTCTTATATGTGGCAAGTACACAGAGATGACGGAATCGATATTTTAAATGTCACGTGTACCTATTTAATATAAAACATTAATAAAAAAATACATCAGTGATGTCAAATAGGTCCATTTATTCGAATAGGTTTTACTAAAAACCGCTCCGGTGGCCTAGTGGTTAGAGCATCCGCATTGGATGCGGGAGGTCGTGGGCTCAATCCCCGGTCGATTCATACCAAAGACTTTCAAAAATGGTACTAACAGCTGCCTCGCTTGACGATCAGCATTAAGAGGTTAGTGTTATGACTGGTCGGCCTGGTGTCAGGATAATGTGACTGGGTGGGACATCATGCTACATGTCTGCTAGACATCACTATAAACTGCCACACTGCAGACATCGTAGTGATATGACTGAAAAATTGTTAAAGCTACGCTAAAAATTATAAACAACACCACACCACACCACTAAATACAGCATAATCATACAACACACTTGACCTGACATGTTCACTGAAGTTCTCTGTAAACGAAAGCCTTTTCCAGTTGTGATACTTTTAATAAACATCTGCTACTAAATTACTTCATGCATTTCAGAACATTTGCCATCTAAGAAGTTTTTGAGATATTTTACTTGCCTTAAACCTATTTGTCTACTGTTATTGGTGGCAATCTCTTCTTCCTAGCCGACCAATGAAATTTCAATGGCTGGATACTGTGTAGTGACTTTGAGTGGTTGACCTCCTTAATATGAATTTTAAGAACACAAGCCAGAAACACTCATTTCAAAAATGTATCCATCTCTTTAACTAATACTCAATAATAGCTCAAAACTCCACACCATATCTTTCACTTAAGACATTTGCCAGGGCCAATATGCGGACCTAGATCCTGCTACCTTGACATCGTGAAACAATTACTCTCAGTGTTGAGAATAACACTAGTTAATACGGGACACAGACATACTACCGGATTAACAGATATTTTGTAAGTATCCGTCAATTCTTTACTATTATAAAATTACATGTATTTTATATAGTTACCGTAAAAGTTGATATTCATATTATCCATATTCACATTTGCGTGATCTTCTATTGAGTCCATTTATAAAATTGGAATGACATTGTACTGAATGCAATGAGTGAAGTTGTTGTTGTTGTTGGGTTTAACGCCATTTTTCAGCACACGATAGGCTATTTATGTCAGCCAGTATTAATGGTGGAGGAAGAAACCGGGAAATCACCGGAAAGAACCACTGACCTACGAGAAGCTACTGGCAATCTTTCTCACATATCCACATTCGCCGAATCCTAGACTCGAACTCACACAGAGTTGAGATGGCAGTGATCTGTAACGGACAGCTCTTTAGACCACTCGGCCACTCGGGGCCCCCAATGAGTGATACGTTTACGCATAGGAATGTTACTAAACGCGCTGAAAGATGTGCTCTTAATAATATACTGGTAAATGAATTCACAAATTTATAATTTTTAAAAACTAGGTTATTGTATGCACAGAGAATCTTACAATGTCATTCACTCACATATTCACGTATTAAATGACAGCTAACTCCCACATAGGTCACATAATGTAGCTGTTTTCAAGGAGCGCCATTATAAAGAAAATATAATACACATATTGTTTCGTGTGAATGTGTGAACAGTTGCGTTAGATGATGCTTCTACAGCAGCAACCAATCAAATTATTTAAACCAAACCCAAACCTCCCCAACATTTACACACACAACTACCGCCTCATGTACAGTACTATCACCAAACAAAAACCTCACCAACCACAACATTTACACACGCAACTACCGCCTCATCTATTGTATTTACATCAAACCCAAACCTCCCCAACCACAACCTTTACACAAACAACTGCCGCCTCATATACAGTACTATCACCAAACACAAACCTCCACAACCACAACATTTACACACACAACTACCGCCTCATGTACAGTACTATCACCAAACACAAACCTCCACAACCACATTTACACACACAACTACCGCCTCATCAATTGTATTTACACCAAACCCAAACCGCCCAAACCACAACATTTACACACACAACTACCTCCTCATGTACAGTACTATCACCAAACCCAAACATCCACAACCACAACATTTACACACACAACTACCGCCTCATGTAAGTACTATCACCAAACCCAATCATCCACAACCACATCATTTACACACACAACTACCGCCTCATGTACAGTACTATCACCAAACCCAAACATCCACAACCACAACATTTACTCACACAACTACCGCCTCATGGACAGTACTATCACCAAACCCAAACATCCACAACCACAACATTTACACACACAACTACCGCCTCATGTACAGTACTATCACCAAACCCAAACATCCACAACCACAACACTTACACACACAACTACCGCCTCATCTGTAGCAGCAGGGATGGTGAACCCTATTACTTTTTCTCGAGCCCTTACCCCCAAGAAAGGTTCCTGCAACTGGTTGAAAAAAAAAATAGGTTAATAACGCTAAACCAAAGTCTCTAACTTTTCTATTTCCACATGGTTAAGAACCGGTAATATAAATTGTTTAGGTTAGCTCAGTTTTGTTATCCTATTATTGACTTATATTTTTAAGATTTTGTTTGCTTGCAAAGCGACTCAATTGTTGTCTTTAAACCCTACCTACTGCTATAAATTAATCAGACCAGCGCTTTGTATGTATAAAGGGAGGTAACTCCATGGAGTAAATTAAATAATTTCCCCTGCCCAATGCATTTTTATCAACTAAACGTATCCGTCTGTCTGTGATTAACTGAATCTCTGTAAATTTGTTAAATTCCTCTGTAAACTTAAGACACATATCGTAATATAATAACAAGGTTTCAGTTTTTTTTCCCATAGCATAACAGACGCCGTTACCTTCACAAATAGCCCTTTATTAAGCTAACTGCACAGTGTGAGTTAGTCATACATTATCGATTTTCCATGACACAGCGGCTATTTCCGTCTTCATGTTCAGTAATTATCAATTTGATACATACAAACGGTTGATATATTTTAGTTGTAGACAGTATAGTACTCCGAATTTAAGGGTCATAAGAAGCAAATATTACATTTAGCAATGCGAAAAAAGGAATTGCTCCCCCCCCCACATTATGCATTCACATCTAGGCTTTCAAACAATAGTTTGTGCCTAGCGGATGTGTTTATCGATTGTTTAGGAATTTGTGCGCAGCGGTTATTTCCGTTTTCATACTTGTAATTTTAAATTATTTTTGTTTTCTACAAACGGTTGATATATTTTAATTGTTTCATACATATAAATGGTTAAATATCTGGATAAGATTATAAATATTTAAATTCATTTATATAATCAGATGCTATTGTATAAATGATACCTATATAATAATTTTTGAAACGTATTGTCTCAGGCGAGAGCGGTGATACAGTGGTAGAGTGTTGGACTCTGGTACTGAACTTTTGCGGTTCGACTCTCATAGCCCGCCGGGGTGAATGTGGTCCTTGGGATGCCACATTTTATTAAGTTGGGGAGCCGCGCCTTCGGTTTCGATAAATACCTCACTGCGTCAACCACCTGGTGAGGGATGCGTTTTGCATCCTTAACCCCGGGGTTGATTTAGGGGGTATTATTGAAATCGCAATGCCTGGACCGCTTTCTGAATTTCTAATATTTCACTTTCATCGATTAGAAATTCGCCGGGAGGTGTGTCTTTGCAAGGTGTCTCCCTAAAATAATCAGTAGCATGACTGAGTTCTCTATCTCATTGAAAAGCCCAAAATAAAAACATTCAGAAAGAGCGTTAATCCCAAAAGAAACAGAACGTGGGTTGTCAATAGCGTAAAGACAGCACGAAAAGAACTCCAGGAAAGACACACAATTTAATAAGAGGCTCCAATGACGGGTAACCGCCTAGGATGCTACTGATTATTTTTGATCGATTAAATTAAATTACATTACATACAGACATACATATATTACAGACATACATTGCATACAGACATTACAAACAGACATACATTACAAACAGACATATATACATACATTACATATATTACAAACATACACACATTACATACAGACTTACATAAATTACATACAGACATGCATACATACATTACATACATGCATACACACATACATACATACATTACATACAGACATACATACATACATACATACATTACATACCGACATACATACATACATACATTACATACAGACAGACATACATACATTACATGCAGACATTACATACATACATACATACATACATACATACATACATACATACATACATACATACATACATACATACATACATACATACATACATTACATTACATACATACATACTACAGCTATTAACAAAAGGGGGATAATCCTCTATTAGCAGCGAAGAGAAGGAATAGAGTTATCACGCTTTTAAAAGTAGTTTAATTTAACATCTATTATAAATGTTATCAATAATGAATATTGGAGAACCTCACTCACCTAAATTAGCTCGATAGCGACTAGAGGTAATTGAAAAATATTTACATGTTCGTGATTCTGTTAAGAAGAAGCTACAGTCGCGTCAGGAATCTCAAGTTGAATTTTAAGAGTATACAAAACAAGTATTTTAACCTATTCTATTACTAAGACCACTTAAGTTATTCAACCTGTGTTAGAGAAAATAGCAGAAAAAACCAAGAAAACAAAAAAAAAATTATTAAAGAACTTTCTGCCGAAATAGCTGTTGCTCAAACAATGCAAGAAATACTTAAAGGCGCTAAAGCACCAGCCCCAAAATAAAAGAGTGTTGTAGCGAGTAGTACTGCTGAATTGTTAAATAAATTTAATGAAGATACTGTTAAAGTAATTAATGACATTGAAAACCTAGATCAATTAGCTGAGTTTGTTGTGGGTGGTTTTAGTCAAATAGATAAATTAATGAAACCTGAATAGGCTAAACATATTGGAACCCGCGAACAATGGCAGAAGTATTATATCGCACACATATAAATGTTGAACGAGTTAAAATGATGGTCCATTATATCAGAAATATGCTAAGGCAATTAATGAATTAATTCAATCAAGAAAAGAAGAAGCAGGAAAAGCAAAACGAAAATATAAAAAAGAACACAGCCAGTTCCTGAAACAACGTCGGAATTACAACTAGATCCTCAAACAACATTGGAACTACCACCACCATCATCATTACCACAACAATTGCCACA